TTCTCCACGCCCTCCCGCCCCATGACGCTTCATCGACGGACTCACCTTCGGATCCATGCATCACCGAACTTCTCGACGCCTACAGCGACGTGTTCGAAGGCCCGCACGGAGTAGTCCCGGATCTACCCATCCGCCACGAGATCATCCTCGAGGACAGGGCTGTACCTCCGCGCGGTTGCATCTACCAAATGAGCGAGGAAGAGTTAAGTGTGCTTCGGGCACAACTCGACGACCTTCTGGAGAAAGGCTGGATTCGACCTAGCTCATCGCCATACGGTGCTCCTGTTCTCTTCGTCCGGAAGAAGAACAAGGACCTGCGGTTGTGCATCGATTATCGCAAACTCAACGCGCAGACGATCAGGAACGCCAGCCCTCTCCCACGCATCGACGACCTTCTCGAGCGGTTGGGCGGCGCCCAGTTCTTCTCTAAGCTGGATCTCAAGTCAGGGTACCACCAACTCGAGATTCGCAAGGAGGATCGCTACAAGACCGCGTTTAAGACGCGATATGGGCATTTCGAATGGCTGGTTATGCCATTTGGCCTTACGAATGCCCCGACCACTTTCCAAGCGGCTATGACAACGGAGTTTCGACACATGCTGGATCGATACATACTTATCTACCTCGACGACATCCTGGTACAACCGGAGTTTGGAGGAGCATGTGGAACAGCTGCGCACCGTTTTGGAGCGGCTACGACAGACCAAGTACAAAGCCAACCGCGACAAGTGCGAATTCGCACGGCAGGAGCTGGAGTACTTGGGACATTATGTGACGCCGCAAGGCATCCGTCTGCTTGCGGACAAGATCGAGGACCTACGAGTATGGCCCGAGCCCACCAACACCACGGACGTTCGTTCATTCATGAAATTTGCGGGCTACTATCAGCGATTCATCACCGGATATTCCAGGACTGCTGCACCTATGACGAAGTTACAGTCGCCAAAGGTGCCATTCGTATTCGATGACGACGCACGCCGGTCATTCCAGGCACTTAACACGGCTATGCTGATGGCACCCGTCCTTAGCATCTATGACCCCACACTGCCGACGCGAGTGACTACGGACGCTTCCGGCTATGGCATTAGGGCAGTCTTGGAACAGCACGACGGCGAGGACTGGCACCCTGTGGAGTATTTCAGCCACAAAGTGCCTCCCATCAACTCGCTTGATGATGCAAGGAAGAAGGAGCTGCTCGCATTCGTCATGGCTCTCAAGCGATGGCGGCACTTCCTCCTTGGGCGTCGTAGGTTCACATGGGTTACGGAAAACAATCCATTGACCTACTACAAGACGCAGGATACGGTGAGCAGCACGATCGGACGATGGATGTACTTCATCGACCAGTTTGACTTCACACTGAAACATCTTCCCGACCTTTCAAATCGCGCAGCAGATGCACTCTCGCGAAGACCTGATCTTTGCGCTAGGACACATCATGCCTTCGCATTCGACGAGGAGCTTCAGCAACACTTCATCCGGACTTCGCCACGCTGTATGCACAGCTATCTTCGGATCACCCGCCGGCCAGCCACTATCGCATTGCCGACGGGTACTTGCTCCTCCACTCGAGAGGCAAGGACTTACTATGTGTCCCACGCGACCGCCGTCTTCGAACTCGCCTCCTCGACGAGTATCATGATTCACGACTCACCGGCCATTTACGAGTCAACCGCACTATTGCACGGCTTCGACAGCGATTCCGATGGCCTGATCTCATTACCGATGTCACTCGGTATTGCGACTCTTGCGAAGTTTGCCGACGCAGCAAGCCCCGCAACCGCAATCCCTACGGCGAGTTACGCCCGATGCCTATCCCACGGGAACGCGGTCTCTCCATTGCCATGGACGTCACCGGTCCATTCCCTCGCGACCGGCTCGGGCACGACGGCATCCTCACGGTTGTGGACCGATTGAGTAAGTACACACGTTTTCTTCCTTGCAAGTACTACTCCACGGCTCCCGAACTGGCAAGCCTCCTGCACACCGGGTGGATTTGTGGCCACGGTGTACCAGAAGACATAGTCAGAGACCGCGACACTCGCTTCATGTCGGCATTTTGGACTGCTCTCATGCAGGAGTCCGGCACGAAGATGAAGCCAAGTTCGGCTCGGCATCCACAGACAGACGGGCAGACGGAGCGGGCACATCAAACCGCTCAAATGATGCTTCGTACGCTCGTCCGTCCGAACCAGAAAGATTGGGTTGACCGCCTCCCCGACATCGAGTTCGCCTACAACACTTCGGTGCACCCGACGATCGGCGTGACTCCATTCGAGTTGCACCACGGTGGACGGAAATCCCGTATCTTCGCCGACCTTCTCCTCCCTCGACCAGCCGACATTGACGCCGCTTGCTCTCCCGCTTCCGTCCGGAAGTACAGGGAATTGCTGACTCAAGCCCGCGCGAACATGCAAAAGGCTCAAGTCTGCATGCAGCAGCAAGCCAACAGGCGTCGCATGCCATGTCCCATCCGCGCCGGTGATCTGGTTTGGGTCTCCGCGGAAGAGTTTGCACTGGAACAGGATGTTTCACGCAAACTGCTTCCCAAGTGGTTTGGACCTTGGTCTGTGACAGCAGCCGCGGGCGATGAGCCCGATGGCCCTTCATTTGTGATCAACATTCCAGAGCATCTGACGGTCCATCCAGTCTTTCACGCCTCGAAGCTGGCAACATATACACCAGCTAAGAGCGATGACTTCCCGGGCCGACGATCGCAGGACCCTCCTATGGATGGTCTTTAGGAAGTTGACCGCGTCGTCACGGATCGCAAGTATGGCAGCAAGCCGCGCCAGTACAAAGTTACATTCAGAGCATGCGATCCCAACGACACTCGGTGGATTTCAGGAGCAGATTTGAAAGCATCCGCACCGCTGATCTACGCTCACTACGAGCGACAAAGGTTAGCTAAGGGACCTCCACGACCTGCCCCTCCCACCCGGACTGTGGTCCCTCCCTCAGACAGACAGCTTCGCCCTCGCAGGTAAGCTCGGTCTTTCAAGGAGGGGGGGGTGTGGCATACAGCGTAGCCACACGGGCCCTGCAGGGCCCGTCCCGGACTTTCAGCCTAAAAGCCTAGAAGTTACGGCTTACAGGCCCCGATCGTTTCAGCCTGGAAGCTTAAATACGAGGGCCTGCAGGCCCTATTCCGTTTCAGCCTATTTCTGGGCCTTTCAGGCCCAGAGTTTTTCCAGCCTGAAACGGAGGGCCTTTTTCAGGCCCTAATTGTTTCGACCACCCCTAAGACTCAGGCACGAATACAGGGTTTCAGAACAGGCCAGAAATAGCCTGTTCCTCACGAGCTTGAGCAGGAGCTGCAACTGCAGTCCCTGCCTTCCTTCGGCATTGGCAAGAGCAGCCTCCTGGACTGCTCGCACAGTCAGGAGGCACCCGGTAGTACATAGGAAGTTCCCATGCACTTCACGGGTAGGTAGTTGTCAGTAGGCACGAGTAGTCTTCAGGATTCGGCCGCAGCACTCAGGAGGAACGCTGCAGTAGTCTTTAGCGCTAGGCAATAGTCTTCAGTGTTAGCTATAGTCTTCGGCGCTGGGCGCCCATAGCCATAGCAGTAGTCTTCAGCGCTGGGCGCTAGTAGGTGGTAGATAGTAGAGTTGGGAGAGATGCCTGGTGGAGGCCAGCGAGACTTACCTGTGGCACCATAGCTCCAGCTCCATCTTCGAGGTACCTGCATCAAGGCGCCAACTTCACAGGTTAGTACTGGACTGAGAGAGAGAGAGAGAGTTCTTCTTCCTCTTCTTCTAAATCCACAATCTCTTCTTCCCCTCTCACCACCTGACTTCTCAGTCTCAGCGGACTACTACAGAGAGAGAGTTGTGACTTGAGACTTGACGACATTGGATCCAGACTTGACATTTGGGATTCAGACATTTCGACGAGGGACTATTTGGGCCTGTGCCGAAGACTTGGTGTTGACGACATTCCCATCTTCCCCTCCTCTTCGTCTAACCCCTTCTTCTTCATCTGTGTATGGTAGGGGCTGGCGCAGTCTTCCTGTGTGAAGCGCCAGACCCCATTCACACCATGTAACGATGATGATGATGTATGTTCAGGGCTGCATTGCAATATTGATTGTTCGGATCACTGGTATCTAAGTCTTCCGCTGTGCTATCTTGTACTTTGTATTGAAAGGTCGGTTCTTGTTCTGGTCTGCACGGTACCTGTCTCTTATACACATCTAGATGTGTATAAGACAACAGGTCCTTATGGTATTGGATTCATATCCATTCTGGGGAGCGTCAGTCCAGTTCCTTTCCATCGGCAAGATAAAATTGGAATACATGGTGAATACCCACACGCTTCCTTCCGTCTGGCCGAAGGAACCCTGACCAGCATTGATTACTCCTTATCCGGAGGATTGATTGTCAGCTTGCCCTCCACTTTTCCTCTTAGAGTCTACTGTGTCTCTGTCAGATAATACGTGTGAATCAAGAAAAGAGAGGAGTTGTCTTTGCTATTGAGATTATGATCTCAATTTGTTTTTCTCTAGGTCCTTGTCCTCGTGGTGTGCCACTTCCTCCAGTCCAGTCTGTTGTCCACCACGGTGGCGATCTTTCCTTGTAGAAGCCAGTCTCTTATGAACGCCCGTTTCTTTGTTGCCCTCCTTTCTGGTCTGCCTCTCGTCGTCGATGTCACTTCCCTCCATCTGGTTCGAATCTCTGTTTCAGCCATTCTCAGCAAAAGCACCCACATTTCTTCTCTTGGCACCTCAGTTCCTCCGATCGTCTTGGTGCATCTCCTCTTCCAGATCACCCACATAGCCAGCTTTCTGAGTACATGGTACCACACTTCCTCTCCGCCTTTGAGGTTGTTTATGTTGTTAGATAAGAGCAGGATGTTGAGGGGGGTCGTCGGTGAAGGAGGTGATGAGAAGAGGATGTTCCACAGGTTGCGCACTTTGTTCCAAATCCACGCTGCTTCCGTGCAGTACAGGAGGCAGTGGGGTACGTCTTCCGGGATGTTGTCTTTGCAGAGTTTGCACTGGTCAATGCTACTGGGGTCAATGTGCTTTCTCCTCTTGTGGAGCCACTGGTTGGTTGGCAGTGAGGCGTGCGCTATGAGCCATTGCATACTTCGGATCCTAACTGGTCTGATGGATAGGAACTTCGGCCATGGGATGGATATGGGGACAAAGGGGTCTAGGCTCAGGATTTCTCTCCACTTCCCTTGGAGTCTGGGCTCCGGGTCCGTGGTTTGTAGGCCCAGCTCATAGCCGAATTTGATGTCGTATTCGTCTATCGTTCTTGTTCTCCCTGATTCACCCTGTTTCCACACCCATTCCTTCGRGTCAAATTCTAGTTCGGAGATGCTGAGGTCCGGTCGGAAGAGTTTCCAGGGTTTGTTCTTTGACACCCTCACTTTCCTTAGTCGGAATGTCTCGATTGTATCGCACTGGGGCTCACTGTTCCGAATTTCTGACTCGTTAGTGCTTGAGTTTGGCTATGGGGTATGAGTAGAACTTGGATAGGTATCCGGTTGGGTTGGTTCTAGCTACGAATCTGTATGCTCTTGTACGCTGTGTTTGGGATATTAGTATCTCCCAGTCCCCAGGTTTCCACGATAACTCCTCTCTTAGGAGGGGGAGCCAGTGTGTAGGGATGCTATTTTGAATCCGCGTTAAGTTTTCAGGAAGGGAATGACAACCTTTTAGGACATTGCGTAGTTCTTGAACCGTGGCCCATCGTTCTTGGTCTTCTAACCAGATGTGTCTGATCTGCCACACTCCTTTTTCTACCCAAGATAGCCAACTACGGTCCTTGGAACGAAGTGTCCATTCCGCTCCACTGGGGTCGGAGATCCAGGATTGCAAAATAGAGGTTGTCTCAGGACTTCTTCTCTGTTTCCTGGAGCGCCTTGCTTGCTTGGCATCATTCTGCGCCAGGCTTTGATGGTGGGGCTCCAATACGAACTGGCTGTTGGAGTGGGGTTTGTGACGAGTTGTGCCGGGTTTCTCCTGCGTGGTCTGACCGATTTTATTGTCCATTCTTTTGCCATGATCCAGAATAGACCGTTCATGTTCGGGGGGGAGTTGATGGGGGCTAAGGTCCATGGGAGGAACTGTTTAGTCAGGATCTTGAGGATCCATTTCATCTGCAGCGCTATGGATTCCTGTTTGGGGTCGATGATCCCAAGGCCCCCTTCCTGTGGTTTCCTGGTGATGAGGTTCCATGCGACCCTGTTGATGCAGGTGGTCCTGTTGGGATCGCCTGTCCACAGATACCACAGTGTGGAGAAGATAGTTGTGTTAATTAGTATTGCCCGTCCGATTATCGAAGCTTGAGCGTTTTTGCATTGGGTCAGTCGGGTGATTGCCCTAGCGATTAGGTTCTGGCCCATTCCTGGCCACACTCCTTCCTTGTTGATCACGATGCCCAGAAACCTTATTGCTTGTTCTCCCGTAGTCCATGTCATGGTTGTGGTTGTGTCTGCTGGTTGGGGAGGGGTGTCGTCTGCTAGCCACCACCCTTCGGTTTTGTTCCAGTTGACCCTCATCTCTGACGCTAGTCTGAAGGCTTCCAATAACCTTACAAGAGCTTGGAAAGAGTTGTTATTGGCGCGGATGAGGACCGTGAGGTCGTCGGCGAACATGAGGGCGGTGGGGAGGGCAAAGTCGTGTAGCGGGTTGTGGTTTCGTTTAGTGAGGCGACCAATGGACGGGTCTTTGCGGAGGAAGGAGGCTATGGCTTCCATGATGAATAGGAATATGGGTGGGGCCAATGGGTCGCCTTGTCTGACTGATCGCGAGATTGGATAGGTGTCCGATAGGATTCTGTTGACCTGGACTCTGCCTGTTGCGTCAGCGTACAGTATTCTGACCCAATTTCTAAAGTTTAGGCCTACCCCCATTTTCTCCATACATGAGTGTAGAAAATCCTTGTTGACCTGGTCGTAGGCTTTCTCGAAATCGAAGAACAGGATTGCAGCTTTCATTGTTTTTTTTGTGATATTTTTTGCTGCCTCGTTTAAAGTCATCACGTTGTCCAGAATGTACCTGCCTGGGATGAAGCCTGCTTGGTCGATGTGAAAACAGTTGTTCGTTAATTTTGTGATTCTGTTTGCGAGTGCCTTGGCTAGGATTTTGTTTGGTGTAGTTAGAAGGGATATGGGTCTGAAGTTCTTCAAGTCTTCTTTGTCTCCCTTCTTGTACAGCAGTGAGACCATGCTGGTACTCAGCTCCTTTCCTAGGCCTCCTCTGTGCATGCTTTCGTTGAAGAAGTCGAGCAAATCTTCACCCAGGGTCGGCCAGAAGCAGCACCAAAATTCTTTGGAGAGACCGTCGATGCCCGGGGCTTTGTCATTTCCGATCTGGTTCAGGGCTGTGTGTAGTTCGGCCAAGGTCAGGGGTCCGTCCAGGCCTTCCGCCTGACTGGTCGAAATGGTTTTGTCGAGGTATGAGAGCATGAGTTGGCGAGCTGTTGTGTTCGCTGTGGTCGGGGGTGAGGGTGTCTTTGATTCATATAAATCTGCGTAGAATGATCTGGCTATCCTTACCATCTCGGGGCCTGTTGTTTTGGTACTTCCTGAGTCTATAGGATCTTGGAGAGCCTCTATCATGTTGTTTCTTGCGTTTGCTTTGATTTTGGAGAAGAAGAATTTTGTCATGGATTCATTAAGTGCGTAGTCTGTCATTCTCGCTCGGATCTGCAGACCTCTCAGTTCCCATCTTCTCCACTCATTCAGTTCCTCTTTGGTGTCGTCTAATAGCTCTTGGTAGAATCCGCTGGAGGCATCTTCTGCCAGGTTTTCTTCTGCGACAGCTATTGCAAATTGGAGCTCTTCTCTTCTCCTCTTGCGGTTTCTGGCGGTGTCCCGGGATTCCGCTGATACCGTCCGTGTTAAGTTTGCATAGCTGTCAATAAACCATTGGTGGCTGTTTATCTGTTTGGACTCTCGCTGCTTGTTGAAGGCCCACTTTTCTCTGAGTGCAGCAGCCATTCTTTCGGTTTTTAGGAGGGAGTTATTCATCCTAAAAAACCCCTCGCCTGTTTCCACTGGTACGTTAAAATTGAGTAGCAGTTGGATGGGCTTGTGATCTAGACCTTTGAACGCTGCTGAAGGGAGAATCTCGGCCTCTTTGACTGTGCCAAGTAAGCTCTCAGAGATGAGGAAAAAGTCTATCCTGGACAAGGATGTCCGGTTAGCTTGATTTTTCCTTGTCTGGGTGCAGCGCTCTGAGGGCGTCGAGGAGTTCAAACTCGGTCATCAGATTTCGAATTTGAGTACCTGCTCTTGTGGGTCCCATTAGTGATGCTCTTGCAATCCGGTCCAGGTTTGGGTTCAGGGTCGTGTTCCAGTCCCCTGCGATGATTATCGACTGTGGGTTGGGGATGAGGGTTTTGATGCTGTCGAGAAAAGTCAGTCTGTCAGACTCCGTGTTTGGTGCATATATGTTGAGTATTCGCATATCTTCCTCTTGCCACTTGATGTCCACCCAGGACCGTCTTCCTCCCTCACTGTCGCCCTCGCTGTTCAGGATCTGGCCCTCGGTAAGGATTTTGGATGTCTTCGGGACGAGTATCGTTGTTCCTTTATTGCTCTGACCTTCTTTGTTGGACCACAGTGTGAATGCGCATCCTCCTATCGTTCTTTCCATTCTCTGTTGTATCGTTGAGTGATTGTTCAAGTTTGACAAGTGGGTCTCTTGGAGGAGTATGATGTCAGGCTTGGGACGATCCTTACTTACCAGGCCCATTCGGATGTCCCTAAGTTTGTCTTCCTCGTATAGAATGTTTCCTAGACCGTTTACGTTCCAGCTTACTATCTGGAGCCCCTTTGCGTGCCAGTTCATCCTAGGATGGTGTTCCTGCCTGTTTCTGCTTCTTTCGGGAGTCTGCATAGGCCTCTGATTTTTTTATTTTATTTTTTATTTTTTTCTTCTTCGGTTAACTTCTTATCTCAGTTGTTGTTCGATTGTTTTGATTAGTGAGGTGAGTTTTGTTAGCCCTTGAGGAGGGATCTCAGTCCACTGCGGCCTGGGCCTTGCTGCTCTCGGCATCCGAATCCCTGCTGTCAGCCTTCGTTGTTGAGGTGCCCATGCTGTACTCCCCAGCGCTGCTCCCTGTTGTCGGCAGTGGCTCCTCGTACTCTCCCCCTGGTGAAAACTTGTCTCCCGTTCCCACGATCTCCTCTTCTTCGGTTGCCATGTCCACTTCCTCCAACCCCATCTCCACGTAGATGGGGGTTGCCWMGTCTTGCAGCGACGTCCTGGATGTCAAGAGAWTGGYTCTGATAATGTCTGCCAGCGAGTCAGCGATGATGTCCGTCGTGCKGAATCTTCCGTTCAGCACATTGTGTGGGAGCATCGTGATCGTGTCCCATGCCCTCCATGTCAGGCCATCGCTGAGTTTTGCTTTTTCCTCAAACTTGACCAGGATGGGGTCGAAGGGGGTAAGTAACGGCTCATCCATCATCTTCCCTTCGACTGACAACTCTCGTGGTGGGAGCCCGAACACCCCCAGGGGGGTATCTGCGGAGATGTTGTCCCTGATGCTCTTAGCCAGGGCTCTGTCGTCGCCGAGGGTGGGGATTGTGAAGGCTGCGTCAGTGGCCACCTGCCACTCATTAAATTTGCTTCTGAACCGGACTGGGATCAGTGGTCTCACTGCCCTGGTGGTCCCCCTATCAGTTGCTGCTGATTTAGTGACGCTGAGCGCTTTGTTTTCCGCTATCATCCGGACTGTGATGAAATTTTCCCCCTGTTCCTTTTTGTAGTCCATGTTCTGGTCGAACAGTCGCTTGGTCTGTGCTGCCACTGTTGCGATCTCCTGTGTGAGTCGGCGCTGTTCATTATTGCTGCCTGCCTCGTCTTTGGGGGGGGCCCTTGGCCTCTTTTCCCTCCCTTTCGACGGTTTCCAGTTCTTGGAAACCATGTCCCGGATGGAGTCCACTGATGTCCGGGGGTCGAATCCTGTGTCAGTCTCTGTTCCTGCCGAATCTCTCTCTCGCTTCTTTTCATAGTATCTGAAAGCACTGAATTCCGAGAGTTCAGATTTCATGCGCAGCAGTTCGAAGAAGTTCTTGGAGTGGGGGATTCCTGCCACTGTTTTACCAGTGGCCGGTTTCCAGGCTAGTCCTACGCCGAATTCCTTTTCTCTCTCGTACTTTGCTCTCTGCAGGTACTCCTCCAGCCACGGAATGGGACTCGTTTTATTTGGAGAGATGTCCGTTCCTGTCTGCGAGGCTGCTGGTGAGCTCGGGTCTGCCCCGGGGGACTTGTTGCCTGTGGGGGATTGCTCAAATTTGTGTATCTTGCTTGAGTCCTCCTCTGTTGCCCTCCTCTTCTTTCCTGCTCTGTCCTCTTGGTTTCCTTTGGAGGAGGGGGAGGCATTCCGTTTGAGCGCCGGGGGGACCTCTGCTTTGGGGTGGCGGTGCTTGAGGGTCTGTTTAGCTACTTGAATCAAAGTGTTGTTGTCCAGGTTGGTATTTTGGCATGCTTCTGCTGTCTGGATTCGGATTGTCTCCATGTCCCACAGCAGATCCTCGTGTTTCTTTTCTTCCCTGATTGCTCGTGGGTCGATGATCTGGTCTTTGTGGATTTTCCCTGGTATCCCTGTTACCTTTTTAGCTCCCACTGCGTGCCATCTGCTGTCTGAGGGGGGGGAAATGTCTGGTTGTTTTGTTGTCGAGTTCGTGCTGTATGTCCAGATCCACTTTGGATCATCTATAGTATCGTCAAAGACCCAGCCATTGTAGTCCTGGTCATTGACGAACCAAATGCCCTTTGCTTCTTCCACTTCCACCAGCATGTTCTGTCTCAGTTTCTTCTCCTTCGAGTGTTTAGGGGATCTCGCGCAGGCTGGGTCAGTACCCAGGTGTCCTCTTTCTCTGCATCTGAAACAGATGGGAGCGTCTTTAGTTGAGACTGTGACTGAAGACGTTTCCTCTCCGATGCAGAATTCCCATTCTTCCGGAAATTCTGGGTTCGTTTCGGAATTCACTTCCAAGACGGCAGTGGAGTCGCAATGAGGGGCTAGGAAGTCTGGTGTGGGGAGCACCCATTTCAACACTTTGTTGTTCGGGTATTCAACCTCCAGGCGATCCTTTATCAGTGGATGACCCCTGATGGGGATGTTGTCAAACTGGACCCAAAATTGGTCCCTCATAAGCCTTTGTTTCTGTGCTGTCGCCGGGGAGATGGTGGGTTTCTGTGCCATCTCCTGCTTCCATCTGGATAGGGAGCATACTGAACCATTACAGTTTAAGATGGTGTGCCTGCTGATCAGATTTGATGCCTGATCAGCATCTTTGAAAACTACCATCATCATGTTTTTGCTGAGTACCAGGATCGAGAATTTATCCGTGGTTGATCTGAGATTTTCGTGCCCCTGTACTATACTTGTGATCCACTTACGTTTTTCAATTTCTGGAAGTCGGGCGCCTGTGTTGGAGAATGTGAAGACTAGCCCGTGTTTTGCACACATGGCATTGGTTGATTCAAGTTTTTCTTTCGGGTAACACCACACAGTGATTTCCTTTTCTTCTCCATCCTGCTGAACTTTCTTGATCATTCTTTCGCCTTTGATTTGAGGTTGTTCCAAAAGAAATCGCAGGGTCTCATGGTCGACGAGTGGGCCATTCGATTGGCTGTTCTTGCCTGCATTTTTGGAGTTGGTCGCTACGACCGAGGAGAATCGGCGTTGGAACGTTATCGGAGCTGGTGTCGCCATCCTGGACTGTGGCTGAGATAGCGAATGGTATACTGGGTGGGTGCAGCGAGGGGGGTGGGGG